CCATATACAGCATAATTGCCATTAAAACTAAAAGATTGATTAAACTCCTTGGGAAAAGAGTCCTCAGTTTGTCCCTCTCTATGCAAACAGGAGGCCAGGGCACTAGGGTCAACAAAAACCCTGTCCTTACTTTGGTGAACTTGAGCTTCACAGGTGAGCTCAGGTATTCAGGGATGGAAAGGGTCCATATTTCTACATATCCATCTGAATCCAACAAAACCTGCAGCCCCCAAGTGCCGTATTCATGTTTTTGCTGGCAAGAGAGAGCAACGTTGGTTTGGGGGCCCCTTCCTCCCCAGCAATTTCTCCACCAGTAGCAGCAAGCATAAGGAATGGGTTTCTTAAGTACCGGGAATGTGAGGCATTCTGCTTTTATCACCACAGTTCTTGCAGTACAGGTAACAATTTTCTCACTTCAATTGCCCTCTAGCCCTAACTAACTTACTGCTGCCTCTGTGCCCCACTCTGACCCCAGAGAATTCCACGTTTCCTTCCCTGCCCCTTTCCTGATATTAGCCAGCTTTCAAAGCCCACCTGAAGTCCCTTCTCTGGCTACTCCAGCCTATGCTGGTCCAATCTTGCTCTGAAGCAGCTCTTGTTAGCACCACCTGGAGTTGTATAAAGTCACCCAAATTGCAGTTTGCTTGCTCCACGCCCCGCTGCCAACCTGTAAGACTCTCAGGGACAGAAGGTGGAGAGAACAGGAGGATTTGGTTCTAAACAAAACTTTTCATTTGTATTAGATGTGTGGCCTTTCCCAAGGCATGGACTTCTCTGAGTCTGTTCACTCATGAGCAATATCCACCCAGCAAAGCCAAGGGGAATTAAATGAAATAACGTATACAATTGTCACAATAGTCTTTACCATCAGACATTTAAAAATTCTCCTTCTTTCCCCTCTTCTGTCTTCCTGCTCTTTTTTCTTCATTGTTCTCCTAGATTATGTATTGCATGGAACTTGGCATATTGTGGGTGTGTTTTAAACAATTAATTACTTTTCAGTACAGATTTCTTTTGATCCCCAAAAGGGCCAGAGTGATGTCTGCTCAGGTCAGCTGGTATCCCCTGCCCATAGTCTTGTGCCTGACACAAAGGAAGCCCTCAATAATATTTGTGGAGTGGATGAAGTGTGTGCTTCCTTCTTATTTTATTAAGATTTCCTTATGTTTCGGAATAACCATTCCCTCAAAGAGTAAGCAAATGCCTGGAGAAAATTAACTTAAAATAATGACTCATAGTCCTTTGGAACAGCAAAAACAAAAATATGAGCTGAATCTAAGCCAATCTAAAGTTAAATTCCAGAGACCCACCTACAGTTTAGGTAGCCAAACATTGTGCAAACCTTGCATCATGATTGGAAATGAATGGGGATGCTTGTGGGGATGCTTTCAGAGAAGAAGGGAGGTGTGGTGAAATTGAAAAGCGTCAACCTCTCACCCAACAGAGGAAGTTCTGTGAGGGATGGAGAATGGTGGTTTCCTCTAGGACAAATTTTCTGAGCCTTTGCTAAGAAAGAGCACAAAGCCATTTATAGGCTACCACTTGCAGAAATTGGATGGAAAAGTAAAGGGAGCACTGATAGAGAGCAATGGGTCCTTTAAAAGCAGGGATTCCCTGGGAGCACAGAGTGCTAATAGGCAAGTGCTCCAAGTATGTCTTGGAGGCACATTTTCTTTTCCAGCAGAACTGCATTTCACCTGCTGGCAAAGAGTCACAACTCACTTGTACCGCAGGAAGAAAGCTGCTAAAAATCAAAGAAAGCAGCAGGCATGAGCCCGTGAGCCAGTCCCACTTCCCCATCCCCTAGACAGAAAACCTGGGAAGAAAGTGCTTTAAATTCACCTCTGCCATTTTCTGGGAGAAGACGATTCTGTTGTAAATTATTGAACGTTTCATTTAAGCTTCATAAATAAGAAACTCGGATGAAAATGTTAACATGTTAGATCCGTTTGGCAACATATAATTTCTGTCTTACTCCCTCAATCTGTCACCCTTCATCTGCGTTGGAGAATTTCTACTTCATTATAGGCAATTGAAGGTCTCAATCAGCTGCCTGGGAAAAGTAGTTTATGTCCCAAAAGTAATCTAATTTCTCCAGTGGGGAGGATATACCTGGGATTCACCAAAAGTATTGTTGGAGATAAATATGTGTTTGGAACAGATCTGGAAGCAGGGCAATCACCCACTCAAACTAGAGGCAGGCAGCCGCCCCAGCCAGGGCAAGCTGCTCACTGACACCTGGACATCCTGGTTCCCATCAGAGTCGACAGGCTAAGCCTCAGCAAATCAACAACTACAGCTGTGCCTAGGACCAACCTGTGCATGTCTGGGAGTCTGGGACACTTTCTACAGCTGATGACACCACTTGTATAAAAGAACTCAAAACTTCACAGTAGTCTCGGTGCTGGGTAATAATACTCCTGGGTACTGTCACTGTGGGTCAGGAGACGTCCTTTAAACACAGGGATGCTTTTACTCCTCACAATGACCTTCTGAGATAGAAACGATTATTATTCCCATTCTACAGAAACTGAGGCCCAAAGATGTTAAGTCATCAAAATCACACATGTGGGAGGTGCCAGACCCTGAATATAAAAGGTAGTAGGTCAGACTTCTAAGTCTGTCAGAATTCACACTTTACTTCCACTGATGTTAACATGTTGGACAAAGAAAGAACTGAGGGCTAGGAAAGGGAAGAAACTGGTTTGGGAAGGAAAAGAGAGGGCTGATCCTAATGCCTGCCCAGACAGGGCTCAGCGTGGCATTCCTTCAAGATAGCCTGACCAGCACATATCAAGATATCTATTGTGTGGGCTGCATTAAAGTTGGGGGATCCTCTGGCTAAACCTCTGGAAGCGATTATCCCCTTAGCCAAACCAAGCCATAAGCTGTTTGTTTCAGGAAGGCTTCTCCAAGCACGTCCTAGCAAAATCATTTCTATTACCTCAGGAATCTCAGGGAAGTCATACTGCCTTAAGGACCAGGTGAGTTGGGGGGCTGAGCAAGGCCTTGCCATTCTGATTAAAAAAAAACCTGAACCCTGAGGCCAGAAGTTTAAGAATCTTCTGTAACTGTGTCTCATTTTTCTTTAGAAAAAGATGGTATACTGAGTTGAACAAAATTCATGTCCAGTTGGAACCTGCAGATATGATCTTATTCGGAAAGAGGTTCTTGGGAGATGTGCTCAATTTAAAATGAGGTCATACTGGATTACAGTGTGACTGGTGTCCTCATAGAATGAGAGAACACAGACACACAAAGGCAGAGGTCACAGTGATGTGGCTATAAGCCACAGCCAAGCATTGCCGGTAACCACCAGAACCCAGGAAGAGGCAAAGAAGGATTTTCCCTTAAACCTCCAAGAGGAGCATGGCCATGCTGATGCTCAGAATTTAGACTTCTAGACTCCGAAACTGTGAGAGAATGCACTGTTGTTCTTATAAGCCACCAGTTTACAGTAACTTGTAAGAGTAGCTGCAGGAAACAACACAAATGAAAAAGAGACCTCCCATCCCACCTTCCTCCCAAAGACTAGTGAGGCTCCAGAGCACACTCAATTTCAAAAAGTGCATAGATGCAGGATAATATAATGATAATCCATGGTTCTGTGGAGCCCATACATAACACCACAGAAGCATACCAGGCATTGTCTGGCTGACTACTGGAAGACCCAGAAGATGACCATTTGATTTTCTACAACCTCAGGCTTAAAAACAAAGATAAGTTTGATGCCAGTCAGTGGTGGTGTAATGGAATAATAATCCCCAAAGGTGTCCACATTCTAATTCCTAGCCCTTGTGTCACTTTTATGTGGCAAAAGAGACTTTGCAAATGTGATGAAATTAACAATCCTAAAATGAGGAAAATCATCCTGTACTATCCAGATAATCCCAAAGTAATCCTTACAAGATAGATGCAGAGAGGTCAGAGTAGATATGACAGTGAAAGCCACAATCGGATGAGAAACAGATGTGACAATGCTGAGGTGCTGGCTTTGAAGATAGATTACGCAGCCATCAGCCAAGGAGTGCACGCAGCCTCCAGAAGCTGAAAAGGGTGAAGAAATGGATTCTCCTCAGGGGCCTCAGAGGGCATATAACCCTGCTAAACCATTTTAGACTTCAAACTTCCTGGATTATAAGATCATAAAGTGCCATTGTTGTAAGCCACTGAATTGCAGTGATTTGTCACAGCAGCAATAGGAAACTAATACAGAAGTCAAAACAATTGGTTTGAAAATAAACGTGGAAGAGGCCAGGGAGATACCCCAGAGAATTCCAGACACTCTGGAAGCCTGTCAGTGATTCTTTATAATGAACCCCTACGGGATTTTTTCAGAGGCTTGTGCCCTTTAGTTGGACAGTTTTTTATATTTCTTCCACCTTCCTGGAGTCCATCAGAAGTCATGCTAAGATGGGAGCCATGGCTCTAGGCCTAAGTTGCTGAGTTTACTGGGGGCTTCCCAGGCCATTACTTAAAGGCCAGACAGCCCCATGTACAGAGAAAAAGTCCTTCTACATTGATCTCTAGAAAGGACACCAGAGTCTACACATAGCCTCAGTTCCTATCTATAAAACTTGGGTGTGATCCTCAGATACAACATTCAAGAAATGCTTTAAAGACCCATGCCCCCATTGTAGCTCTCAATTACATGTTCCCCAAATTCACAGTTTAAACTAGGACCTGCTCTACAAGTCCTAGCCAACCTGGTACTCTAAGCATACAGGTATCCAAACTTCTGAAGGTCACTAACAAAGGCAGCCTCACCACCCTTCAGAGACCTGCAACCTAGAGGAAGCTGGGCACAAGCAAGCTCATCTTATTGGCTTGGTGTGGATGTCCTAAGTAGGAAAATGGGACTTTCTCATGAAGGAAATCAAAAGAGGACTCAGGGAAAACTAAACACAAGACCTGAACAGAAGTCTAAGTTATTTTCTTCCCTTTCAGCCTTCCCCACCCCCGACACAGAGAATAATGTTTGTTTCTGCATCTACTGATAGATCTGGTACCTGGCACTGAGTATGGAGTTGGAATATCTGCCATTATGAACTCACAGCAAAGCGTGCCAGCCACCATGAATGCCAGGACTGGTGAGTAGGAGGGTGGGGGAAACAGAAGTTAGCCTGAAAGCTGAGAAGCCATAGGGACCTATTCTGCCAAGACCTCTCGTAAGTCTATGCCCCCAAGTGAACAGGGCCCTCATGACAATCACCAAGCTAGAGACAACATTCAGCTATGAATAACCAACTCCTGATGTCAGCATAGAATTCCATCATCTTTCCCGTAGATCTGTGCATGGTCCTCCCAATATGAAAGCCTACCCAGAGCTGAGCAGGGCAGAGATGGAAAATCCCAAAATTCTGGTGCTACAGCAGGCTGTATATCTACCTAGACCACATGACAATAGGCAGAATGGGGTGAGTGTCCTCAGCCTGTACAACAGAAGTCCTCGAAAAGGCTAATGGAGGAAATAATGTACTAAATCCAAGAGCAGTGAAAAAAAAAAAAAAAAAAGTCCACTGGAGACCCTGCTGCTCTAGCACCAACAGTTTTGTTTCTAAATCTTAGGTAAATTTCAAAATAACTCCAGTGCTCAGCTATAAGCAATCTGGGCTGAGCTGGGCTGGGGACTTTGGACTAATCACTATCCCCAAGATTCAGTCTAGAACAAGCAGTCTTACTAGAGAAGCACACGATAAGAGTCTCCAGGAGTCCTCACATCAAGTCCTCTGTGCACCCATTGTTAGGCCAAGTTAAAATAATCTCACAGACAGAAACAGAAAGAAACCAAGGAGAACTTCTTTTGCCAGGAATTTCACATTCCTAATTGGTGGTGGTTCCAGTTTTGTTCTGGTTGACTTACTGAGAACGGTTGGGTGAAAATTAATAGGGAGAGTTTGAAAATACCCAGCCAGCTTTGCCCCAGAGGTGGATGCATTCAAGTGATGTCAGGCCTAATAATAATGTTTGATGAGCCATTGTTCGTGTTTTGAAAGGAAACTGCTTAACAAAATGTGAGATGAGCGTCAACAATGACATGCTAAAACTCACGGTGGGCAGTCTTACTGATATCTTGGACACACATAGGGTGGCCAATAGATATTGGTCATCCAAATAAGCCACTTATGTTGACCCACAGAACTTGACAGTCCCCGAGACCTCATGGTGACAGCCTCCTCAGAGACCTCCATTTCCCTCATCTGGACCAAGGCCAGTGGTCCCATTGACCACTACAGGATTACCTTTACACCATCCTCTGGAATTGCCTCAGAAGTCACTGTGCCCAAGGACAGGACCTCGTATACATTGACAGATCTGGAGCCTGGGGCAGAGTACATCATCTCCATTACTGCTGAGAGAGGTCGGCAGCAGAGCTTGGAGTCCACTGTGGATGCCTTCACAGGTACTAGAATGGTGGAAATCTTAGCCAGGTTCAAGGATCAGAGGATCTTCACATGAGAAAGTCATCCAGGGAATCCACTCTTCCAAAGTCCCATTTCCTTTAGAGAAAGAAGAAAAAAAGATTGTAGAAAAAGAAGAGACAGAAAGAAAACTAATACATGCATCAAGTGGGAATTGCTAGTAGTAAAGGGGAAAGGTGAGCAATGATGCTGCATGCCTGAAAATGTATATCTGGTGTCCTGAAGCCTGGACACAATAGCTGATTCTGTCCATCTTTCGCTTTCTGCACAAACTCAGTGGGAAATCTAAGCATCCATGAGATCATGGTAAATTCCTTCCAGAAGAGAGGTTTTAAATCTTAATCTGTATAATGAATAACTCACAGAGGTATTTCTGGTTTTATCAGAATTGATTTTTTAGTATATGGCTTGGGAAAAGTAGAATAGACAGGACTGGAGTGTAGGGAGATGGAACCTCTGGGCAGTGAGTAAAGATGTAACTCTTATTAGCAAGGAGAGCAGATCCAGTCACTTAAGTAGCTCTTCTAGCTCAATGGCTGTCACATCACCTGTGCTTCAGAACCATCCACCTTCTATATTTTTCAGGTTTCCGCCCTATCTCCCATTTGCACTTTTCTCATGTGACATCCTCTAGTGTCAACATTACGTGGAGTGACCCATCTCCCCCAGCAGATAGACTCATTCTGAACTACAGTCCTCAAGATGAAGAGAAAGAAATGATGGAGGTCTCCTTGGATGCCACCAAGAGGCATTTTGTCCTGATGGGTTTACAACCAGCCACTGAGTATATTGTCAACCTGGTGGCTGTCCATGGCACGGTGACTTCTGAGCCCATCATGGGCTCGATCACCACAGGTAAGACGGGAAGACTTGGCAGCAATTGATGAAAATGGATCACACAATAGCCTTTGACAAATCAATTAAATGTAGAAAGAAAAATACTCACAGTGTAGGGGACTCCCTCTATGGCCAGAGAGAGTCTATGAGCTGCTCTCAAACAGCCACTTCTTCCAGTGCTGCATAAGATGCATAAGATAGGAAACTCCAATTTGGAAGGCAAGACAGATTCAGTGTCTTGAGGAGGGTAAGGCTTAAATGTATTGGTCAGGAGATCTACCAGCCCAAGGTAAATCCCTGAAGAAAGCTGGTTTCCAAGAGGAACCTCTCTACAGTGGATAGCCATCTGTTCCCACTCTGGAGAGATATCTTCTGACTGCCCAACAAGATCACTAGTGCAAATGATGCCTCCTCAGAAAAACACGGCTCTAACATGCAACTACACAGCAACCTTGCACTCAAAAATTGGGGTTGATTTGTACATTGTTTGGAAAACACAATGTACAAATCTCAGAGAAAACTCGAGATGAATTGGATTATTTTTATCTCACTATTTTCAAATCCAGTCCCAAATATGAGGCTTATATGGCTAAGAATATATGTGTTTGGGTAGTCCACTGACAAGAACTCACAAACCAGACTAGTGGATTAAACACTCATAAGACTCAACCCTGCAATTCCCTAGCAGTCAGTAAAAGAAAAAACTATACAGTCTAAATGAAACACAATTTAGGAAAGTGGATTTGTTCTGGACTTGTGCTCTGAAATCCCACTACAGTCAATAGACAGTTTTTCCAAATTGAACCAAAGTGGCTGCTAAAAAATAAGAGATAGCAGCAGAATTGGGTTTTTCCAAAAGAAGTTTCCCCCAGAGGAAATAACTATGTTATTCCCAATTCAAAACAAATAATGGCACTCACAACAAGGTTCCTAGTTGGCCTTCAGATAATAGGAAATATTTACTGCATGGACATAGTCCCTGCCATCTTAGCTTTCTGTTGTTAAAATGCTCTCCAAAAATATTGCTTTGGCCATACTCACAGGTTTCATGGGAGACATAAGACTGACCACGATTTTAAGAATGATTAATTACATCTTAGTCTCTGGGACACCATTGACTCTTGAGTAACATAGAACTGGGGATAAAAGTTCCTTTTTCACATTGTTCTTTCTCTCCTTTTCTCACAACCACCTGGATCTTTGTAGGAATTGATCCCCCCAAAGACATCACGATTAGCAATGTTACCAAGGACTCAGTGATGGTCTCCTGGAGCCCTCCCGTTGCATCTTTTGATTACTACCGAGTATCGTATCGACCCACCCAAGGTAATAAAATGATTTGAGTTCTGAAAGATAAGTGGGACTTGGAGTTCAGTGCAGATTATTATTGGAAAATTATCATAGCCCACAGGACATCAGCCCCTGCCTGCATTTTAACTCCTCTCTGTGGCGTGATCCCTCAAAATGAGTGTGTCAGTGAAAGACGGACTTACCAAAATTTCTCAAAATAGGCTGGACTACATTTACCCACAAAGTAGGCCCTCTGCTAGCAAAGGTAGCCCTCACCATTATCTAGGTCATGCAATAAGAAACAAAGAGCCCTAAATGAGTTTGCCAGGAGCCAGGCTATTTTTCTGAGAAAGTCCAAGACTCAAACTCAACAGAGCTAAAGACCCAGCAGAGCCAGATGGATCTTGGAGAGGATCACAGTGACACAGTCCTGTTTCTGCCATTCCAGCCAAGTTATGAGTCAGAGAAAGTTGGTACAGAACTTGCCTGAATCCTGCCGGTTCTTACTGGTGTATGTGGCGCTGCTAACAAAGTAGAAGTTTGGCTTAATTCCAGTCAGGGTAGAATAGCTTTCCAGAGCATCCTGTCCCTGGGCTGCACAGGTGTCCTCTTTGCAGATGTGCCCTCTATACTGCATGAACAGAACTGCCTCAGAAACCAACTTCTTAAAAAACCACCTAATAAATGAAGGATGGGACTAGCACGCAAGGTCTCTTCTCACTCCAACAGTCCCGGCCGTGAAACACTTATCCCTCCTTGCTGAGTTCTCACACCCATCTGCGCTTCATGACAGAGTACCCCTATGTAGACTGTGCTGTGGACCACATTGACGAGAAAGTTTCAAACACTAACTATGAACTCTGCTTTCCTTAGTGGGACGGCTGGACAGCTCAGTGGTACCAAACACCGTGACAGAATTCACCATCACCAGGCTGTACCCAGCTACTGAGTATGAAATCAGCCTCAACAGTGTTCGGGGCAGGGAGGAGAGTGAGCGCATCTGTACCCTCGTGCACACAGGTAGGTATATCTCCCTGCTGTGTGTCAAATCAGGACACCAGCTGAGGACTTACTGCAAATAGAAGAGGCAAGGAGTGAAGCTGTTCTGGCTCATACAGAGGAGACTGGATCCAGGATCAGGGTCTGTGGGTCTGTTCCCAGGGCTCCTCCAACTCACTATCATGCAAGATAATTGGCAAATTCTTTCTTTACTGATAGTCCTGTCTCATAAAAGGAGCTTGGTGAGTCATCGCCTAGAGGAGTCTTTCTGGTTTACATTAGGAATTTACATGGAACTTGCAACACGAATAGTGCGCTTCCAAAGACACATGGTAGAAGTGAATTCTAGGACCGATGAGAACATCTTGTCTTATGTTTAAAAATACTCAGAGAAGGAAAGTTCACCTCAAAGAAAAAGAGTTGTTATTCAAGTAAGATGAAAATCGGGGTCATGAGCTTGCTCATCATATATGGCCAGAACCCACCAAGTAAGTACATTTGCTCCTGCTTCATGCTCCAGAAAGGAAGAAAGCCTTAAAGGCCATGACCCTCTCACTTCAGCCAATGTGCAGGGACAGTGTGTAGTCCGTGTTCTCCCAGCCCTGTAATCAGATCTAAGTATTCTGAGTTCTCAATCAAAAGGGAGGTAAAAGGGGTGACCATCCTGCACTACGGGAAAGTGGGGAAGAAGTCCCACACATGTCTTTCTCTAGAAAATAAGCCCCTTTGGATGAGTCTACAGCCAGGTCTCCCTCAGTAGCTCCCCTGCTCCTCCTTCTGGCTCCTCCGTCACTGCACCATGCAGAAATAGCAAAGATTTGCCATTGGACACAGCCAAAATTTTCTTTCCTTATTGTCCAGACCGAACCTCCAAGTTAAGCCATTATTCCCACAGCAGATAGAAAACATCTGGCTTGCTTCATGAAGAGTACACCTGGATTTCCTGAAGCTGCTTATTTCCCTGGAGAATAGTATTTCCCAAATGAGGGAAATGTGACTTGAAATTCCCCACCACTGTTATAGATGTTCTAACAAGCTTAAAATCAACATTTTATTTTTTTTTTTAGGATGGCCAATAAGTCTTTCAGAAATATAAAATTTATATTTTTGGAGACAGCACAGAATAGTCTAAACTTTCCCAGTTTATTTCCGTGTGTATGAATGCAAGTAACCCAACTATGCTTTTTTAATTTAAACCTTACCTGAACTCCTAAATTACCTACGATCATTAATGTAGCTGGTCAATAAAGGTAGACCAGAAAAAAATAACCAATGAGCCAGAAAAAGCCTCCTTTCCATCTTCCTGAAAATCCCAGAAAATTGTGTTACTTCTCACTGAAGACAATAAAATGGATTTTAAAAGCCTCCTACTCCCAAGATGAAAAAGAGCAGCAACTCCAGTCAACAGCTTATTCCTCAGGGTCTTGGCCTGAAGCAGCAAGTATTTCTAAAGCAGATGTTCAGTGGTACACCAACCCAAACTGCCCTCCTTCAAGTTCAAGTAGAGCTATTTCCACAACTTGCAATAACTAGAAATATCTTTGTTTGTTACTGTTTTAATGCAAAGTCTCTAATCTCACAACTTTTAGAAATGGGAGTTCCTTCAGGATATCAAGCTTGTCTCTGAGAAATCAAGTCAACTGTAGTTTAATAAGGGTTTCATTTGAAGAGCTCTGAAAGCACGGATTACTGATAAAAGTCACTTTAAAATTATAAAAATATTTTTTACTTGTCACTTTGTAATGAGGGACATAGGCAGGCAAAAACAACAAACCCTTCAATTAGAGAACAGGGGCAGATCAAAAGCAGATCTTGGTTCCCAAAGTAAGTTGTGTAAACCTAAACTTAAAATAGCTAAACTATTGTAATAACAAGAATTGAAACCTGAACTATTGTAATCCTGACTTCATGGGATTTGTGGAAGAGAAGCACAGTAATAACGCAAAGGTATAGCATGAGCAAGTAAGAATAGGGAGATGGTCCCATGACAAGCAAATTTGGCTCCTCCAGCAGACATTGTTGGCCTTCCTCAGCCTGTAAGAATACCCTTGGCTCTCAATGCAACAAAAAGTATACCACGGACTCAGTCCAGGGTGACCCTTGTGAGTAGTGAAGCAAGAAATCAGTAATTGCGTACAACCTTGGAGACAACCTGAATTCCATGCAGCCATTCCACAAGTCCTCACTGAATACCTTCTTAGTTCTCAGCACTGGGAGACCATGGCACTTCCTGAAGTTCACCAATGGAGATCTTTCCACAAGGCACACCCTACATTTATGAAAGTGTAAATAGACCAGAAAGCATAGTTATCTCATTTACCTAAGAGTTAAAACAATTTCTATACATTCTTAGGTTCTCTACAATTAATTGCTTAAAACACAAAGATCACCTTGAAATCCCCCATATCACCTCTACAGTGCTCTGCAGATAAGTAACTGATGAAGGAAGATCTGGTGTCTGTTGAAGGAGAACTGGATACTCGAGAGGAAGGAGGAAAGGCAGATGAGGCTGATGGAGTCAGAGGGGAGAAAGAGAAGTCTTCACCCCTCTGTACCCAACTCTACCAGCACAGCAGTAGATACACATCATGAGTAAAATTTCTGACAGTTTACTGCACGTCCACCCTACAGCTTCTCTCCCCCTCAACTGATATTCTCCCACTGTCTTTCAGCCATGGATAACCCTGTGGATCTGATTGCTACCAACATCACCCCAACAGAAGCCCTACTGCAGTGGAAGGCACCTGTGGGTGAAGTGGAGAACTATGTCATTATCCTCACACACTTCACAGGTGAGTATCTTCAGGTCTATGCACCAGGAAGGTAGGAATGGTGGGTACCAGGCCAATGATGTCAGGTTTGGCGTGGTAGAGCACTCCTGTAATCCCAGCACTCTTGAGAGGCTGAAGCAGAAGGATCACAAGTTCAAGCCCAGCTTTGGCAACTTCTCAAGAACTCCCTTGAAGTCAAAAATTTAAGAAAGTTCTGTGGGTGTAGCTCAATGTGAAGGCCCTATGTTCAATCTCCAGTGCTGCCAAAAAAAAAAAAAGCATTTTATCACCCTGAGGGGCAAATTCGAAATTTCCCTGATTCCCTGCTTCATTTATGCTATAAAGCCCTCAAGATATCCTCAAACTCTGAAAACTATCAACTATAGGAATTGCAAAAGCTAAATCTGAAAGGTGTGAAAAAGGCATGTAACCAGAAGAAAATACCAAAAAAAAAAAGAGAAATAACACTTGAACTCATAACTGAGCAAAAACTTGCCCTGAAATACTACTGACAAGAAAGCAGAATTTTTTGGATGTGTACAGAGCAAGAAAAACATGGAAGTTATAAGACCAAGCTTGCAGCAGACAATACATGATAAAAGATGACAAAGGATTCAGAGCTGCTAAACTCTTCTGTAGTTTTCGTCTTCTCTACCCATTCCAGTCCAAAAGGTTGAACCAGCGTGAAATCTTGAATTTCAATGTCATCTGCATCATGCTTGTTCACCTTGCATTATTTGAAGGTGAATAGAGAAGTTCAAAGCAAAATAGTGCTGCATACTCTAGTCTCTAGGCTTAGGAAAACTATTTCCCTTCCTAAATTAAACATGTGATCACAGAATTGTTGCAGGTTATATTCAGACAGAGAACAAAGATACCAGAAAACAGAAGGCAGGCAGATGTCTTGACTTTTCAAAGTGTGGCAGAAAAACCAATTCTGTAAGTTGCAAAGAACTAAAAGTATTGTAAAAGCATGGGAAAGTAAAAACTAAAACAGACTATTAAAACTATAAAAACGTAAAAGTAGTTAGTGATGGCTACATATCACCTCAGGTTCACTAAGAGTGAGTACCATCAAAACTGTTTTATGTCCTGGTTTTTTATTGGCATATTTGTGTTTCAGCAAAGCATTAGAAAACTGCATCTTATTTAGTCTTTAGTTAAAGATGGAAAACATATGATGGATCATATTTGGAGTTAGCTTGAACTGTCGCTGATTGAGTGATTCTAACCAAAGAATGGATATCACTACTGTGGATATAGCTGAACTTCCCTGTATTCATGCACAACTGATCTCAACTCCCTCCACCCTTCTGTGCATGTCATGATCTGCATTCTTCACTCTCACCATGGTTTCTTAAGCATTTGCACATGTTGCTTCCCCTGCCAAGACATTATCTCCCTGCAGTTCTACCTAGAAAACCCACCCTTAAAATCTTAACTTCAACACTCTCTTTTCTGTCAAAACTTCCTTGGGTACCTTACAGCAGTAAGACATGGGTACAAAGCACAGTTGCATCATAGAAATTCACTTCTATTCATTTAACAAGTGCTTTTAGTTCTCTCCCTTGGGAAATACAGTTGATAAGATTATACAGATTCAGAACCAAATCATGAGGTCTTATCTTCATGAAACAAGTGTTTAGTGGTGATTCAGAGAAGTAAGTAGTTACAGCGATGTGTACAGTGTCATGATATGGGCAGACATGGAACATGGTGGACTACATCTGATGGGCCACTATGATTTGGGGTCAGGGTTGAAAGAAAGAAAGGAGGAAGAAGGTAAAGTCAAAGAACCTGAAGAGGAGAAAAAAAGAGAATTCTAAGAAAAAGCACAGCCTGTCTGCATTTTCAAAGGTATGAGAAAGCATGAGGAGTTTGAGAAACTGCCCCCTGTATGGTATGGCACGCAATGACTGATGACAGAACATCTCAGATGGGTATATTACAAAGGTAGTCATTGTGTATGGTCTTCCAAAGAGTTAGTTTCTATTTTAACTTGTTTGCATGCTTTTCTATATGTACAGACCACAATTAACTTAAAACTTCAGGCCCTACCTACTTTGAAGATGTACTTAATAAACTTGGTTAAATGCTGATTGATTTTGAAATATTCTAATTGCCCAATGGAGGAATTGGCCCTGATGTAATAAACAGTTTTATCAACAGTTTGAATGAACCCAGAGAAGACATGCTTACTAAATTTGTGTATAAAATAAAACTGGGGTTAATACAATCCAAATTCCAAAATACCTTGATAATCTAAAACAGTGGCCCAACTCAATCAACAAGGCAAAAAGCAATAGATATAAATGCAAATCTCTGCCCATGGGTGTAAAAAAATCAACTACAAAAGATTGGATGGGGTGGCAATAAACAAGTTCTTTGATTAGTACTTATCTCAGAATGTGATAACAATAGCAAATGGTTGCCCTAAAGCATAACAAATTAATAAACCAACAGAAATAGAAGCAGACTGACCACTTGTATGGCTGGCCAGTGCATCTCAAGTATTGTTCTCAATTCTACCCCAAGTTTTGCATTTCGGCAGGGACACTTATCAGTGTCCCAATTACTTGTTCAAAGAAAAGCGGCCAGGATTGTGAAGATTTTAGAACTGTTGCATAAATGTAATGAGAGGTGAGGGCTGAATTTTCTTAGTACAAAAAGCACAGCACTTAATTAGGAAGAGCTGTAGGAAATAAAAGCTCACATAGACAAAATATTTAGCTTATTCTAACTATAGAGACCTGAATAGCAGGGAGGAAACTTGGCCTCCACATGATGAACATTTTTCTTAAGTTGTAAAGAGGTGAGGGGGGATTGTCATAGGTATAACATGCCAAGCTCTATAACCTATAAAAGTTATTCCAAAATTCTACAGCATCCAAAGTTTGTGAGATTCCCTTTAGATTCGATAGGTCTTTGCTAAGTCACCCAGGCTTATTCAGTCCTTATCCATATGCATCTGACTGCAGTTGCTGGAGAAACCATCCTGGTTGATGGGCTCAGTGAGGAATTCCAACTTGTGGACCTGCTTCCCAGTACCCACTATACTGTCACCATGTACGCCGCCAGTGGACCTCTGACCAGTGGCACCATCAGCACCAACTTCTCTACCCGTGAGTATATGGTCCTCTGCAGGCCTGATACTCTTGGAGGATTCTGTGGATCTGAAAAATGACTAGTGTTCATGTAGTAGCTAGATCATAGTTTATAGGTTTTGGATAGCACAGCTTTAAGCTCTTTTTATTTTGGCCAGCTGTAGCCCAAATTCAGTGAAAGTGAGCTGCAGCTCTCGGCCAGTAGACACATGTCTCTTTTCTATTCTCCCTGGGATCTATGTGATAGTGGGAGAACCAATACAGCCCAATACTAAAAATGCATCTGGCCCAGAAAAGTCTGATGGGTACTAAAAAGATGTATATCGGGGAGAGAGATGTTGGGTGGGATCATGAGCAGGAAAATAATAGACAAAGGTAAAATGTTTTAAATTCAAGCAAGCACTCACAGACTGTGGTTGACCAGGGTCAGGGTCCCAGGAATAGAAGTTCCAGATTGGAAGACATCATTCCCAAGCCCTGAGGCATAAGTCAGGGAAGTGGGGGAGTAGCTGAAAGAATGGTCATGACTCTAAATGATCATCTTCTGACTCAGGAACGCCCTTTACGTCCCTGTCCAAATTAGAATTGGGGTCAGTATGTGAGCAGCCCCGTGAGCACAAAAGTGGTCAAGGAGATCGCCGGGTCTGCAAACAAGTAGGGAGGCCCTGGAGAAACAGGTTCACCATGGCATTTTCTTCCTTTGCAGTCCTGGATCCTCCAGCAAACCTGACTGCCAGTGAAGTCACCAGACAGAGTGCACTGATCTCTTGGCAGCCTCCCAGGGCAGAGATTGAGAATTACATTCTGACCTATAAATCTATGGATGGAAGCCGCAAAGTAAGAATTTGCTGGAAAGGGGCATGTCCATTTCTCCCTTGCAGTGGCACGTGAAAATTGACAGAGGAGTGACCTGTGGAAATTGCAGGAAGGAGGAAGAAAGCGATTCATAGGAAACCAACTGGGCTTCCCATCCTGGATACACAACCTACTGTTGAGGATAGAGCCCTAGTCTGCAAGCCCCACGCCCTAGGTGCCCATGAACCCTGGTTCTACAAAGTCTAGTCTTCTCCAGGCTCTAGTCTACTCCTGCAACTCCACTAGGTGTGATGGTACTTCCAATACTATGACATAAAACCCTGGAAACTTCTTCTACATGGTATTGGAATGATTTTCCTAACAGCCCAAGCAAATGTGAGCTGGGCACCAAATTCAACTTTGGATTTTATGCCTCAATAAGCATTATAAGAGCAACATCTACATAGGCTACAGTAAAGAATGAAAATTTTTATTTTATGTCCTCAGTCAACACAAATCCCACTAAAGCACTGGAGTTCAAATTTTTTGTTTGCAGTGGGATCCTTTTTAAGAAATGATGTGCAAAATCCAAATATACAGAAAAAAGTAAAGCAGAGCTAGTGTTTTTGATGGGAGCAGAGAGGCCCAGCATCCTACTGCCTTGGCTTCTCCCTATGTTCTCAAGCAAGCCCAGTGCAGTCTGGAAACCACTGGGTTCAATAATCCAGGTGCCTAAGTCTCAGAATACATTTGTGAGCTAGGAGTTTGCCTGAATCTCACATGAGAGCCATCCCTTCTGCTGACTGGCACAGTTTTCTCCTTATTGTGGGATGGCAAAGACAACTATGGCCATTGACCTAACTAGCCATAGAATCTGAGCTTCTCTTCCCTACTTTCCCATATCAAAAGCCTGTTGTCCCATCTGCCTCTCCTCCTCTGGCTCTATGTAGGAGCTGATTGTGGATGCAGAGGACACGTGGATCCGATTGGAAGGCCTACTGGAAAACACGGACTACACAGTGCTCCTGCAGGCAGCTCAGGATGCCATGCGGAGCAGCCTCACCTCCACTGCCTTTACCACAGGTAAGGCAATTACTGTAAAACCCTTTGATGGCTCCTCTCCCGCACGAATCTGGCTCCTCAGCAGCCTTGCTGAGCTTGAGCTGGGGGGAACCTATCAAAGACACTCCTCCTTCCTTCCCCTTTCAAAGGTGTTTGAGAACCTCTTCACACCACCAAGGTAGTGGTGAGAGCCGGGGACCCAAATCCCTGATCCTCCGGGACCAACTAATGCAACAACTAAAGACACTGGGTCCCTTTTTATTCCATTTTCCTGTCTGTTCTTTTTTTTTTTTTTTTGAGTTTCTCTTTTTTTAATGGTACCAGGAATCAAACTCAAGACCTCACACTTGCCAGGCAGGTGTGTCTGAGCTGTGCCACTGAGCTATATCCCCAGCTTTTCTGTCTGTTCTTCCAGAAAAGTTCTTCCTTCCCTTCTTCCTCTGCCACTCCTATTCAGAGACTCATAGCAGGAGTAAACTCTCAGTACTAAATGGACATCCCTTTTCCATACACAAAGCATTTTTGCATCCCTGTGGTCTCAAGTCAGTCCTTAACACAACTGGCAGGGAAGACTGTTGTTCTTCATTTTACACCTAATGAAACCAAAGCGCACGGAAGTCAAAGCTTTGCAGGACTAGTGAGTGCCTGGGTCAGAATTTGAACAAACGCTTTTTACTTTTGCATTTAACTGTCCCTCCAGCCTTACTCCTTTAAGTCAGCAGAAGATATCCTGAAAATAGTCTTAAAGGATCAAACTGTTGTATCTATAACAGGAAATAACTTTATATTTACCCCTTGGCACCATTTGCCAGGCATTGTCCTAACTGCATTATATCTATTATCTAATTTAATCTTCACAATAACCTATACAGTATGAACTATTATCTCTATGTATTAACAGATGAGGAAATTAGGCCACAGACTCACCCAGTATCCCGTAGCTCTTAGGTGGCAGAGCTGGGATTTGCCTCAAGGTGTTCCAGCTCTGCATGTTGTTAATGTGTATGTTGTTAATATTCCTCTCTGCTACCTTCCCTGGTGCCTTGCTATGGTTTGTAATGTGGGACTTGCCAGCCCAGACTGAATTCTAGGGTTCCCTCATACTCTGGGGCTTGAATGTGCAAGTCTGTGGGGCAAATGCAAGCCTCTCTGTGCACTTAGATGCATGTCTGCCTGCTGTGTGGAAGTGCTGGGATGATTAGATTCTTCTCCATACCCCAGAGCTTGTCTCTTCACACTCAGAGGGTGACAGGAAGTCTCCCAGCTCCACTCAGACGCCTTCCTCTCAATGTACTCATTCTAACTCCCAAATGAAGACATGGATCAAATACTCCACATCAAGCCCAGGGGTTCTGTAGGGTACTGAGTTTATGACTGAGTTCTCTTTTCTTTTTTATACCTTTCCATACTTCACAGAGTTCCTTGTTTGCATGCACTAATCAGGAAAACAAACATTTTATTTAATTAAAAAATGAAAATAAGCCATGATCACACAACCAAGACATAAATCCAAGGTGCATTTTTACTAAGTAGAATTTAGAGGACATTTGATCTCTTTTCTGGGGCTGAAGTCAATTATGCTCACCTCTGTGCTGCATCAAAGGTATGTTCTCTAAGTATTAAGGTGTCACTTTCCTTGTTTAAGTCCTTCCCTGCACATCTACAGGTTAACTAAAGGGCCTTCCATGGTCCCCTTTCCCAAACTACCACTTAAAGGCCTATGGGTTGGAGTTTGCCACTGAATTAAGAATTTCTTTCCCATAAAAAGAACACAGATAACAGGTACTTAAGCAGAGCTCCCACTTTTCATATTTATTAAGTTAAACTAATAATTTTATCCCCCAGTGTATGGGTTTCAGTTTTCAGAAGTATTAGCTTTTCATTGCCATCCTGGTGGTACCACAGCTAGGCGTGCTGAGCAGAAAGACAACCTGCGCAAGGTCTCTGTGGTATCCTGCAGCTGTGCCTCAGCCCTCCACGCTTGGAAAGGTGTACCAGCTCCCAATGCACCAAGGGAGGTTTGATAGTTCAGATGTGGGATCGCAGATCCAGCTGGATCCAGATCCAATAGGATCAAATAAACCAAGGCATAACAACTCACATGGAAATCAGGAGAGGAGACCAGGGTAATGGTTTTGTTTGATGGAGAGTGCAAGGGATTATCAGGACATATTTAGGTTGTTAGTTTGTTCATTTGTTTTTATAAGACTCCAGTTGCCCCTGGGATCCTGGGGCATCAGCTCAGAGAGGAGAAAACCAAAGAGCTGAATTTCCTATGCAATAAATATAGCTACTAACTGAGCTGCTTGCTCCTCATAGAGTTTTGGGGACCAGAGAGACTCCACTAACAACTACCTGGTACATAGCAAGGGGCATCCATGTGTGGAAGTTTTCACACAGTGTTACTAGAAAGTGCAAATTTAAATGCAAGTTATGGATATGAACAAATCTTGCTGGTTTTTTCTTGGAGATTTACCAGAACCCACAGAAACAACTGGTTGCAGAATTTTAAATGCTTGGGCAGAAATAATGTATATTAAAGTCTTTTGCACAAAGCCCAACATATGACAGACATAATAAATGTTGACTGAACTTAAGTGCTACACAGGGCAGAAGAGAAAGTCTCTAGTGAAGCAAAACTGAAGGAGTGGGGAAAGTTTTTTAATACTCTTCAAAAGGATGGTGCAGGCAAGGAAGTACAGCCTGGAGAGTATGATGCCAAAGTCCCTCTAATTTCAGGCTCTGTCTGCTACCCTGATGCAAATTTTCCTGAATAAAGTACACTGGGCTACATAGTCATCTGCATGTTAATATTAATGAGCATTCATTGCCAATAGCCAGTCCCTTCCCCCTATCTTTCCTACTCCTGCCAAGAGCAAATTTTATCAAGGAGGAAAAGAATACAAGGGTATCAGTTTCCTAAAGGTGGGGGTGAGGATGTTACCAAAGGATAAGAAGCAGGAATGAAGAGCAGAATGGCTTCACTTGCACACAAGATTTGGAGTGCTCACAACCTGAACCCCCACCCCTCCTTGAGGCACGAATCACTCCTGCTGTGCCAGTCTGGGGAACACTGGAGGCTCTGTGATGGCAAATCAGGGAGGATGGATTTAGAGGCGTATTTCCTTTTAGAAGCTAACATCCTTTCTGTCTTCATTGTCAGTACCTGACTTTCCCACTTAGCAGCATGCTGTTCTTAGGATGTGTTGCTCCCAGCTGATCCTTCCGAGTGTTTTCTATGCCTTCTGTGATGAAACAACCAAGCTTAAATTTTGGCCCCAAGCTGACCTGCATCCACTCACAACCCACAGATGCCTACATAATGGTCTGGAGCAGAGTTGAAATGTCAAAAAAATTAACACTAAAAATGTGAAAAGAAGGAGAAAAGCAAAGATCTGGCCTCAAAACCTCAAAACCCTAAAACCCTCCTTTGATCGAGATGTCTTCCCTTGCTGTGTTCCTGCCACATAGCATCAGACCATTTCATTCTTTCCATCATGTTAATAGCTTCCTGTCCTCTTGTCTCTGGTGTTTGCACAAGACTCTGGGGGGAATTAAATACAAGTAGTATGGAAGGAAAAAAAATATGGATACATTATTTATAATTTACTGTCGCCTGAAATTTCATCCAAGGTCTACTTGTCTTTTAGAGACATGAATATAAATGAGGAAACAAATATTCCCTGCAGAGCAACAGAGACTTGGTGAAATGATCTTCTGAGAGGCAATTTTCATTGTCTCTTTTAATACTATAAAAAGCAAACAAGTCTTTTGCTAAAGCTCATCCTCAGAGACAGCTAACGCTATAAAATAGGTTGTCGTGACCTTGAGGTTAAGCGAAGACTATCATTTGCAGAGGTACCCAGAGATGGGTAATGGGAAGTTGTCTTTTATTACCTTTGCTGTAGTCCCTGCTACTGCACACCCAGGGTGAGCTGCTCTGTGGGCTTTTCAGGCTAACTCTGGGGTCTCCTCTAACACAAGCATCAGTTTTGAGGTGGAGAAAATTAATGAAGATTGACAAAGTCTAGATCTGGAACAATAGATGGTGGATCATGAAAATTCAGTTATCAGATTCTTTGATTGGATAAGAAATCCCAGTGATCACTATTCATTTCTATCCATTCATATGTGTGCCACATGTCACCCCCACCAAAGGTGGAGCTGAGAGGGCTTCTCTTTGCTCCGTGGCTTAGAAGCAGCTTGAGTTCTTCTTCCATCAAGGCAAGCAAACCAGGGAGGGAGGGAGGGGAAGGAGGGAGAGAGAAAGAGAGAGAAAGAAAGAAGGAGAGAGAGAGAGAGATATTCCCATGCATGTCCAAAATGAATAAATGGGTGGATTCAGAACAGAGCTTTGAATTAATCATACCACCCAGTTTATCACATATCACTGACCTCAGCCTCCAAACTACTTATTTCCTTTTGCCCCATCTCTCCTTCCCCACTCTGTATGCACCATGCTAATGTGTTAAATGGGTAACCTTTGCATGTTTTGGAAAACTCCGTCCTTGTTAAATTACTTTGAATATATTTTAAATGTATGGCAATGGTATGGGGTTACATAACTTATTCCCTATTCTCATCTATTTTACTCAGCACTATTTTCTAGACCCATCTGTGTTGTTTCACACATTTATAGTCTTTTGCTTCCAACTGTTGCAAAACAGTGCACAGTGTATACCGATCACATCTTAGCTCCCCATTCTCCTAAAGATTAGGACATTAGGTTGTCTCCAACATTCCACCCACTCCAAATGGTACTGCAATAAATACCTTGTACTTAGGGATCTGTACAACAGCTGTGAGTTATATGCCCAGAGGAGGAATTGCTGGTCACAGGATATGTGTTTACATAATTTAACTAAGTAGCACTCTCTACCTATACACTGCCTACAACCGTGCATTTCCTAATGGCATATGTCATTTTTAATGACTTAACAAGGTCCACGACTATAATTTCTGACAGTCTCAAGGATATAATTGCTATTTCATTGTTCTAGTTGAATTCCTTTTTATGAGTA